CACATGGGAGACACAGTAAAAGTTTCTGGCTTCTGGCTTCAGATTGGCTCAGTTGTAGCTGTTGTAACCACTTGGTGAGTGAATTGGCCATGGAAGATCATCTTCTCTGTCTCCCATTTCTGTGCATCTGGTTTATGATTTATATTTATAATTTAAATTTTGTTTGTTTTGATCATTGACTCATCCCTTCTTATATATCATCTGAATTCACAGTGTATTTCTTTCTGTGTTTTGTTTGTGACAAGTACTATAGCATTTTCTAGTTCTAGCATGTGGTGAATGACAAAACTTCCTCTGATGACTTATGCCAGGCACCTCTGATGACTTGTACATTCTGCTGGTGACCTACAGATCAGCTCCTGAAGAGCCCCTACTGCTGCTGTTTCTCATCAACACCCACTTTCAACTTCAAGCTGATAGAATGGTCAATGCCTCATTACACTAACAGCAGTTAGTATTCCTTTTTCTGATTGGTGAAATGTGAGAGGAGTCAGACTGGGTGTTAAGAAGGGTATTCTGGGTCACCAAGTCCTCATTTTTTTTAAAAGATTTATTTTATTTTTATTGAAAAGGCGGATATACAGAGAGTAGGAGAGACAGAGAGAAAGATCTTCCATCCGATGATTCACTCCCCAAGTGAGTGCAACGGCCGATAGTGTGCCGATCCGAAGCCAGGAGCCTCTTCCTGGTCTCCCAAGTGGGTGCAGGGTCCCAAAGCCTTGGGCTGTCCTTGACTGCTTTCCCGGGCCACAGGCAGGGAGCTGGATAGGAAGCAGGGCTGCTGGGATTAGAACTGGTGCCCATATGGGATCCCGGGCGTGCAAGGCGAGGACCTTAACCACTGTGCCATTGCACCGGGCCCATCAAGTCCTCATTTTTTTAAAAAATCAAATATAAAAGGATATTTTTCCCACCATGTCTTGGAGTCATCAGAGCAGGTTTCTCCCAAGAGACAAGTGCATATTTTAAGATATCAAGAATACACTTCTCAGAGAGGCAAGGGTGCATTAACACAACAAGTTCCCCAAGTAAAGCACTAGCCAATTTTGTCTCTGGCCTTTGCCAAGTGGGTAATGTCAGACTGGCTTCTTTATCATTAAAAAGGGACTGAGGAAGTTGGCCAGTAACACCTTTGGGGCCTTTTGTCCTAAGGCCAGGTACCATGGAAACAGGATTCCACCTTTTTTATGGAGAAACATCTTTGAGGTGAACTTTTGAAAGATGCTATCCTCCACTATTAACACAGGCCTTTCTTTCCTCCTCCTGTCACAATGGCAGGAGGTACTTCTTTTCTCTCTTGAAGCCCCCTCCAGGCATTAGGATGGGAGCTCCTCTTCTTAAACAAATCATGCTTTAAAATAAAAAAAAATGATCAATTTTCTATTGTTGATTTGCAATACTTTGCTATTCATTCAACTTCAAAGTGTTTCAGTTCACCGTCTAATGTTGTGAATAATGTTCCAGTAAATATAAAGTTACTTTATAAAATACCCTAGGATATATAACTACAGATGAGGTTACTGTATCATGCACAGTGATGTTGGAGTATGTTTAGAATGCAGTTTAGGAATATCCCAAACAATGTATGTGATGAATGCTTATTCCTAGGGGGTGACGGTCCTTTGGTGAAATCTCTTAGAGCCAGATCCTCATATTGGGTGATCATCTACTGTGGAACTCCATCGTTGGAGGTAGTGATGGCCATCTTCAGAAATGAGTTGTTCTCACAGCAGCATACTATTATATGACAAGGTAACATCACATGTTTTGCTTCAATATATGACCACATTCATTTCAGTTCCTTGCCATGTTTCAATACAACTAGAGACACATTCTTTACAAGTGGAGATGTTTTGAAAACCAAGAAATAAAAGTGTGGGCAAATTGCTTAGCAAAAGACTAAAATGCAAATTCCTTAGGCAGAGATTAATATATAATGTTTAAAAGTAAGCTATCACTACTGCCTCACCATAGTATGCTCATTAAATAATTTGCCACAAAATCATGCTGTCCTACTATGTACCAGATACTCTTGTAGGTGTTAGAGACAGAAAAATAAGGAAAACAGAATGGATTTATTTATACATAACTGCATGTACACAGGCATACATTTATATGGAAATATCTTTCACCAAAAATTATAAATTGGATAATGAGGAACATGGTAATCCTCTTGCCTGAATAATTAAAATAAAGGACAGCAGCAGCTTTGTACCATGAGCCTGACAAGACAAACCTAGCATGTCTATTTCCACAGAAGTCTCCATTTTAAAAACCATCATTCATATATGACTGGGATGGCTGGTCCTCACACAGCTCACATCGGTAACTATACCATAATGAATTAAATATGATACATGAAAGGCTCATTAGAAGGGAACAAAGAGGCTGTCAGTGTGCAGGTGAGGATAAGCTTGTGAAGAACAATATCATACTTTAAAATCAGAAAGCAATGGATTTATAAGGGGATCAGAGATGTCACTGTTCCACTCAGGTTAGATTTAACTTTAGGTAAGTTACAAAATGCGGTGGTTGCTTGGTAATAGCTGGTAGTCAAGTTCCTGTGTTTCTGAGTGTTTGGAACAAAGGGACTGTCAGTTAAACTTGCAGAGAAATGCAGGGTAACGTGGCACAACACAGGAAGGTGGGTGTGGCATTTTTCTCAAGCCTTTTGAGCTTTATCCTCTGTGCTGTTTACAGGAAACTGTATTATGGAGAGGGAGAATGCCAGCCTTCATTCTGCTACAAACGCAGATGCCCGGGGTCAGGGATGTTTCTCACTGGACAAAGTATCTGTTCCTAAGGAGCAATGGGACAGGGGATCGTTACTGAGGCTTAGAGGTGCTTACTATGTCACTGAGATTCACACCAGAAAATTGGTTGGGGTGTCATCATGGGTCTCCTGGACAATGGGGATCTCCTGAGTACAAGCTGTGGCTTGTACTTGTCATGAAGTCAAGCTTATTGTTTTTCTTTTGTCTAGTAACAAGAACTGAGAGCAGACAACCTGCCCAGACAGGCCTGCCTTGGAGAAATGAGTCCACAGGAGAGATGAGTAGAACCCAGATGTTTTCCATTGACATCTCCCAGAAAGCAAGAAAGTTCAAATTGTCCCTCGGGTGGATACTCTTCTAAAGATGACAGGCCAGAATCGTTCTGCCTCTACAGGTGCAATGAGAATATTCAGCCTGCAGGGAAATGAGCTGGTGCAGTCCCTTCACTATAACTACATGCTGAGGTTTTAGTTGACTATGGATTCACATCAGATGCTTAGCTGAGTGAGTGTGTTTCTCTGTGGCTTCTGGGATGAAGCATTTTATTTTTCCGTGTAATTAAAAAAAATTAATCTAACCAATGTTAGATGAATAAATTCAGCAATTTTATGAATTATAGAAGCACCTGTGTGAAGAGGTTTGCAAGATTATAGTTGTATTCATTTGCTGACTCAAATTGCAATTGCATATAATATCATTTATTGGAATATACTTACAATTAATTTTATTGATTTCAATTTGCTCTAATTGGATATAACACACCTGCACTGACTCAGCATGCTTTGGTGATATTGCATAACGAGGGTGAAGTTCATTTAAATTGAAGCCAATGTTCTTGTTCAGGGAACCGGAGAGCAGAGGGCACATTTAAAAAGTTTTTCTAAACTTAGTAATTGACAGATTGCTTTACCTATAAAATTCATCTTTTAATGGTTTGTAGGTTGGCATGTGTGAAAAATGAAAAGTGCATTTTTTGTTTCTCTTTCTTGTATCTACTTGATTCTGTTGGTTTTAACAATTCACTTCTAAGGAGTATATGTTGTGTCACAAAACTTATTTCATGACTTCCTATGAACTTATCTTGTTGCAGTTTTTGTATCCTAGTTTTCTCTGCATTTGTTGTTACCTCTGTTTTTTTTTTTCTCAATGGTGCTGTGAACAGAATTTTGCAATTATGCATATTTTCATCATTATCTCTGCATTTTTTCATTTTTCAACATTAAATGTTTCCAAAGAACAGGCAGGATTTTCAATGCTTTTGGATCCTCATTCTCTTTATTCTTCCAAAATTTTTCCATCTTATTAAGAAAAGCATTTGAGTGAACTTACAATAGTGGAAAATATGTTTACTGCTTGATTCTGTCAGCTGACTCAATTTTGTCAATAAATACACATATTTGTTCATCAAAAGTTCCTGTTATGTTTTAGTGTTGTAAATGTCCTATCTTCAAATGCTTTTTCCTATAAATATGATAAAGCTTATCAGAACATCAAGCAAATATTGCTGTGGTGGGAGAAGAAAATTTTGATATTCTTATCTGGTCACATTTTGTCATTAATTTGTTTTACTGAATGCCTCATAATTGCAAAAGAGTTATATAGTTACTTTAATTAGTGTAATAGATTATTTCTTCCTTAAGTGTATTACTAAATAAGTTGATCATAATCTTTCAGATGTGGAAATAGACAATCATTTGATGAGTTTGAAGGTGATATACAATTCTTTTTTGCTTTACTAGATTAAGCTTTGGAGAATGTTCAGCGATCATTTAATCAACAAAGCATTGATTTCTATGTTAACACATGACATGGCATATTGTTGCGGAATGGTTTTGTACTTCTGCACTTTATTTCAGACTGTGAGTGTTTTTTTTTTATTAATATATATATATGCATGTGCATGTATTTACTTAGAAATTTTTCAAAATGGGAAATCAAATTAAAAATATTATTTTCTTGCAGAATTTTAAAAAGGCTGCAAAAGTTTCAAAGATTATGTATACTGACAAATTTTCACATGCTTTTGTATAAGAAGTGCAGAGGTTTGACCACCAATAATTTTTACTTAACATTAGAGTTTATTAAAGCAGTGGGTAAAATAGAAAGTATAATTTTTGCATGATTTGTAAATAAACACAATGATTTATGGTGACATGCGATCTCTGTTTTGTTTCATAGGAATGTGAAATATTTTCAAATATGCTGAGATGAACAAAATATCCAGTAATGTTATTACTGAAAAATGTGTATGTTTTCCAAGCTGGCATTGGCGTCTTAGCCAATGCCTTCCTCCTTGTCTTCCACATCTTCACAATCCACCAAATTCGTAGACCTAGACCAACAGACATGATCACTTGTCAGCTGGCTTTTGTCCATATAGTGATGCTACTTACCACTCTAGATATTTTATCTGCAGACATGTTCAAATCCGTTGAATTTCCAAATGAATTAAAATGTAAAGTTTTGTTTTACTCAAGCAGAATGTCTAGGGGTCTCTCCATCTCCACCACCTGTCTCCTGAGCATCGTTCAGGTCATCACCATCAGTCCCAGCTCCTTCTACTTGTCAAGATTTAAACATAAACTCACAAAACATGTTGTCATTGCTTTCTTCTGTATTTGGTCCCTCAACCTGTCTTTCCATAGTAACATGATCGTCTACACTGTAGCTCATTCCAACAGGAGCAATCAACTCAATGTCAGTAAGTACTGCTCAGTTTCCTCAATGAATTCTGTCATCACAACACTATTTTTCATACTTGCATTATCTCAGAGTGTTTTCTTTGTAGGAATGATGCTGTTCTCCAGCATGTACATGGTGATTTTCTTATGTAGCCATCAGAGGCACTCTGAGTACCTTCACAGCATGAGCATTTCCCCCAAAACATCCCCAGCAAAACGGGCCACCTGTACTGTCCTAGTGCAGGTGAGTTTCTTTGTGATTATGTACTGTGTGGATAGCATCATCTCATCCTTATCAACTGCATTGTGGAAATATGAACCTGTGGTCCTGGATATCCATAGGCTTGTGGGAAATGTTTATGCCACTATCAGTCCTTTGGTGTTTATTATTTCTGACAAACGAATAGTTGAAATGCTGAAAAAGTAATCGATATTTGCCAAACATTTCAAGAGTTGATAAAGTCTGAAAGATAAAATATATGATTTGTGAAATATTCAGTAATCCAGGATTTTTAATATGATATGAATACAGGGCATTTTACTAGTATATCCTTTAATTTCATTTTCCACTGCCAATATCTATATGCCTTATTTCAAATTTTCCTATATATTAAATTTTTTTTCCTTTTCTACTTCCTTAACTTCATAAAGGAAAACATTTTCTCAATGTGCTCATAAGAAGCTTTTTGACACCTAAAATTAATTCTTCTTACAGAGAAATCTAAATTCACCTTTGCTTTTTGAATGCTTAGCCACTATATGTCCAATTCTAGCTTTAACTACACTCATCTGCTATATGATAATTTTTACCTCTATTTTAACACCATATATGCTCTGGGAGTTGTTTTTAGATTCTTATGTCCTCCTCAAAAAGTCTTCTTCCTCCTGAATGGTACGTATTGAGACATTATTTATGTATTTTTCTTAAATTTTAAATTATTGCGCTCATCATATCTGAGGCCCACATCTTGCATGCACCTGGGAGCACATATTGTGCTGCACCATTTCCTAGGAACCCCATTTCTCATACAGCTTCCTGCTTCTGATCTGGAAAAGCATTTGAGGAAGGCTCAAAGCCTTGGGACCCCACTCTGGCATGGGAGACCCAGAAGAATCTCCTGAGTCCTGACTCCTGGCTTCAGATCAGCTCAGCTCCAGTCATTGAGGCCACTTATGGAGAGAATCTGTGGACGATATCTTCCTCTCTTTTTCTTTTTCCTCTCTATGTATCTGACTTTCCAATACAAATAAGTAAATATTAATAATAAAATTTGCTTATGGGCACTAAATTTTGAAAACTTATGCAATATAAATTCTTATACTGTCTTTAACTTCTTTGTATATTTAGGAGTATAATTTCTAATGTGTTTTAACTTCCATTGAATGTACTGTATTTACCCTAACTGTGCTTAAAATCACAGTTCAGCAGTCTATTTAAAATCATTTTATTTCATCCCTGCACAGTAGCTTAGTGGGTAAAGTCCTCACCTTGCATGCTCCAGAATCCTATATGGGTGTCAATTCATATACCGGCAGCCCAATTCCCATCAAGTTCACTGCTTGGTGACTGGGAATGGAGTCAATGACGGCCCAAAGCCCTGGACACCTACACCCAAATATGAGACTATTAGGAGGATCCTGGCTCTTGCTGTCAGATCAGTTCAGCTCCAGGCATTGCAGACACATGGGGAGTGAATCAATGGATGAAAGTTCTTAATCTCATTTCTTCTGTTCTCTGTATATCTGACTATCCAATAAAAATAAAATATATCTTTAAAATGATTTTGTTAATATGAAGACAGCAAACTGGATCTGATTTCATGAGTATCATGTGATTTATACTGAATAAATTCACTATGTTTCAGTAATGTAGAGTTGTCAGATATGCATTTTAATCAAATGGTTTCATATTATTTTATATCGATTTACTATATACATTTTGTTGATATACCTAATTTAAATACTACTCCCAAGTAAGAAGTTTATGTGATGTGGATTTTTATTGTGTTAGTTTCCTTATGTATGGAAAATAATGTATTGATTCTTGTGATGCAGATGTCAGCTCGTAATGTTTTCAGTCAGTGAATTTTAATTCCTTTCCCCTCTCCAACCTTTGTAATCCAAAACAGTTATACAATATTGCTGAAAAATATTATATGAATGATAAGCTTGCTCATTAGTTTAATTCCTTCTCCAGATCATCTATTTGGTTTACATTTTCATTTGGATGTCTTCAAAATCCCCTTTCAGCTTCTTTAGTCATTTTAATGGAGCTAGTGGATTTTGAGAATTTTAAATTTTTACACTAGAAGTTTTCACTCAATATAACATTTACTCCAAAAAAAAAATTATGTAAGTATGCAAATAACATTTCATATAATGTTATGAAATACACAAACATATTCCAAGTGAAATTTTTTTTTCATTGCAACATATTCTGCAACATGGACTACAGTATGATAATCTGTAGAATAGGATTATTTTAAAAGTATGTAAGTAATTTCAAATTTTACACAAATTTATGTTACACTGGAGTATTTTTTAAAAGATTTATTTATTTATTATTACAAAGTCAGAGATACAGAGAGGAGGAGAGACAGAGAGGAAGATCTTCCATCTGATGATTCACTCCCCAAGTGAGTGCAATGGCCGGTGCTGCATGGATCCAAAGCCGGGAACCAAGAACCTCTTCCTGGTATCCTACATGGCTGCAGGTTCCCAAGGCTTTGGACCATTCTTGACTGCTTTCCCAGGCCACAATCAGGGAGCTGGATGGGAAGTGGAGCTGCCGGGATTAGAATCGGCGCCCATATGGGATCCCGGGTGTGTTCAAGGCGAGGACTTTAGCCACTAGGCCACAGTGCGGGGAGTATTGTTACACTGTTACATAGTTACACTGGAGTATTAAGCAATAGTGCTGGCTTTATTTATATGAATTCAGGATTTTATCCTTTACCATCATTTCTCTTCACAAGGACTCACCCAGGTGAGAAAGAGCTACAGAAGGAGTATCACTAAGAAGGCCATTGCACTTACAGCTAAAGGAAGGGGATGAGACTAAGTAGTTGGGTAGCAGGAACAAGAGGACCTTTAATAGCCAGATTGAATCACTTGTACATGTGGGACACCTGAGTTGGTGCAGTTAGCATTACCACTACCAAGCACTATCCAATGACACACATGAAAGGTAGCTCTAGGGCCTTAACTGGTAGGACTAGATCACAGTACCCAACAGTGAGACTCTCGCCCCTGTGTAACTGCAATCTCCACTGCCATGCACATGATCTGTGGCTGGACACAGTACTGGTTGTGAGCCAAGGGGGAGCCCTGAATGGGTTGGAGTTCTAACTGGTGAACACAAAGCCTAAATGGAGACAGTATTATAGCCTGGACATGGCAGCATTCTTCTTTGCAATGGCTGTGGGCTGGTTTTGGTGAGCACCAGACTGGACAGGGCTCCATTACCCAATGATACTCATGTGAGCAAGGCAATAATATAGAACATACTGAACTAAGTCTTGGCTCCCACTGAAACATATGAAAGCTGTGTCTGAAGGTAGTTCATTTGTGACTTTATTGTAGCACCAAATAGTACAAATTAGAATTCTAATTGGGACATTTGTACCAGGACAGTTTACTTGCCACAACAAGAGGTGCTAAATCAAATCTTGCCAAAGACCCTCTGGTGTCTGAAAGATCTGACACTGGGTGATTTGAAAGAGATGCCTGGAAGACTCCTATATCAGGACACAGTTTTTGCAGACAAGTGCAAGAATCACAGCAATGAGCAGCCAACAAAACACCAGGTTACATTACCCACCAGACACAATTGCATCAGGTCAGCGTGTGAGTTAGGATGGGTCAGTTCATAGCATCTATTAGCAGAACTGTGATTCAGGATGGGCTTGATTGGGCCTTGGTTAAGATACAGCACCAATCATTTCACACTAGCGTTGTTGACGTGTGGCGAACCATGACAGTATGAATGAGGTGGGTACCAGGAACAAGTGTCCTGGGGTGTGGTGTCTAACTGGACCTGAAGGCATTGTGGTTGTTGGATCTGTTAGTCTTGGGAATTGGGGGTCAGGCATGGCCCTGGTGGCATGGCCTGTGTCTCTGGGCTAACCTACACAGTGGTCATGGCATTCTTAAGGCCCTGGATTTTGGAGACCTGCCAGGCAGAGCACATGTCTACACGAAACTATGAAGCTACTAGAAGAAAACACAGGGAACACAACTCCAGATATCAATACAGGCAAACTGATTTGGATAAGACCTCAAAGACATAGGTTACAAAATAAAAATCATGCTAGTGAGATTGTATCAAATTATGAGGCTTATAATCATAGAACAAATAATAGCTGACTGAAAGAATGTCAAAAAATGATTTAAACATTGTATGTGACCAAGGACTTGCATTAAAATGTATATTCAAAACAATTCAGCAACACCAAAATCCTCCCAAATGCAGCTATGAAATAAGCACAGAAAATAAATTTGAAGGAATGGTATTACGTATATAAGCTCACTGATTTGCATGTGTGTATATATAAATAATTAAATATATATGTGTGTGTGTGTGTGTGTGTGTGTGTATTTAAAAATGGAAAACAAAATGAGGCTAATCTTCTACCTGTGGCACCAGCATCCCATATTGTCACTGGTTATGATCCAGATCCCTGCTTATGGCCTGAAAACAACAGAGGATGGGTCAAGTCCTTGGGCCCCTTCATCTACGTGGGAGACTAGAGAAATTCCTAGCTCCATGATTTGAAGTGGCTCAGCTCCAGCCATTACAACCATTTGGCACACGATCCAGTGGAGTGTGGATCTCTTTCATTTTCTCTCCTCTCTTTCTCTCTTGGTAACAATGTTTTTTCAAATAAAAATAAAATATTGTTTTTTTTAAATAGGAAGATACTTGTGGAAAACAAGCACATTTTAATCTGCTCACAAACAGCCATTAGAAAAATGCCATTTAAAACTTCAGTGACTCCTGAGCATTTGGTGCTGTGGTTACTAAATGTCACTTGGAAACTCACACCCCATCTCAGAAATTCTGATTGGCATTCTGAGTCTAATTTTGGTTCCAGTCTCCTTGATTAGTCTATCCTAATATTCCATTTATTCACATCTACAAAGAAACTGTTTATAATTAAGGACAGGTCTACATACTCAAGTTCCCACAGCTTGTATTTCCTACAAATCCAACAAGACCACCAATGAGACTCAGGAGTGTGCAATTTCTCATGTGCTCACTCTCATTCTTTCTATATCTTAGTGTATTTACACACGTTCTAATTAGTGTATGGAATATGTCAATTCTCTTAATATTTCTGTAAGAAATGTTTCTAATTCCAATACAAGAGTGCAATATATAGTGAAACATGAAGAACAATACAGAGAATTTTGTTATAGAATGGCATT